TTCCTGCCGGGCTGCAGGTTAAGTGGGGAAATTGGATGTAACTGGGTCTGTTTTCATTCTTGCAGCTCATTGAGACAAACTCGTCGGCCAGCCAGTTAACCAAACTTTTTTCGTTGTTGTTCTCCTAGAAGATTTGTTAGTGTAACTTGGTGCAGCTTTTTTTTTTAATTTTAGCCAGGTAATTCCAGCCTTTCAAAACTTTTATTTTGATGATGAGTCCCTGGGGGGCTTTTTTTGGCAGTCCTAAAACTCTTCCCACTATAAACAGAAGCAGCTTATTCTTCTGCGATCTGATTTGTTCCCTTTCCGTCCCATACCCCATAATGTTGCTAATATTTATACCTCATTTGAAATGCATAGCCAGCTTTATAGTTTTTAATACGATCACCTTCACAAGAACCCTGTGAGGTAGGTCTCGGTCCCCTCCCCCCCATTCAATAGACAGGAACTGAGGCTAAGTAACAGTGATTTCTCGCACACTTACGGCAAGTCCCTGGCAAAGCTAAACCTTCCCAATATCGCTACTGGGCCAAACTCAACTAATAGTTTATTGTGTTCTTTGTATTCTGTTCCTCTTAAAATGTCTGCTGTTGACATATTCCACACAATCTTTTAACATTTTCATCTCAAGCGTGTTTACTGCACAGATGCTGCGCAAATGCTATTGTCTTGGTGCAGCTTAGATCATAGTTGCTTTTGTCAACATTTATTTGTCCCAACAAAATGTGAGGCACCACGGAGAACAGAGGTGACCCTATGGTATGTAGAATATACATGAAAATGAATTAAAGACTGGCTCTGGAGCACAGAATAAGCTTGTTTTTATCCAGTAAAAATAGCAGTAAACATTGCAGATGCCTTCCTCTTAGTGCACAAACATTCCTAAACTTAAAGTAGGATCTCCTCCCCCAAAGCCTCATTAGAAATGGTTCCAGTCTTGCTGAAACTTATAACATTGCTTTGAAAGCCAAAAAACATCCCCTGAGGGAATAAACTTTCAACATGTTCTGTACACCACATTCAGTGGGAATGAAGAGACATGAAGAGCCTCTCCTGGATATTTCACAAGCTGTATCAAAGCCCTTTCAGTTTTCCTCGAAATTCCTAAGTTGGTTTGACTGAGAAGGAACCTTCTTGCCTCAAGATCACTTGGTGTTTCATTTTAAGCAAGATTTTATGGCATCTGTAATGGAAGTGAGATAGGTTGACCAACTGCCAGGTGGTTGCTTTGAGATCTCCCATAATGACAGCTGATCTCTAGACGACCGAGGTTAGTTCCTCTGGAGAAAATGGCTGCTTTGGAGGGCAGGCTCAAGGGCATTGTACTGTGCTTAGATCCCTCCCCAAACCCCACCTTCCCTGGGCTTCCCCTTGAAATCTTTAGGAATTTATGAAACTGGAGTTGGCAGCCCTGAAGCAGACAGCTGCAACAGCAGTGCCCAATTTCATCCTAGCTCTTTTTTTTTAATTTATTAATCGCTTTCCCCACAAATAGGCTCAAAGTGATTTACAGTTACTCTTTAGACAGGAGACTAACAATGTTTTTCATAGGGGATAGGGAAGACAACATATAATTCATTTAAGTTGCGCACGCCGTACTGCCCGGTGGAAACGTTTCTGGCTTGACTCAGTCATGTTCCGAACAGCTGCATCGCCACACTGCCACCGCCTGGCCGGAGCATCCCACTGCAGGGATTTTTCTTAGCTGAGTAGATTCTTCCGCCTTCCGGGTCCAGACCAGGACGTCTCCAACCGAGAGCTAACACCTTCCCAGAAGGGAGTCGGTGTGCCCACCCTCTCTAAGGAGTGGTTCCCATTTTATCTACTCACCGAGGCTTTCGAATCGCTGGGTGGACGATGAGCTGGGGATGACAGGCTGGCTGCTCACACCAGCGCGGGGCTCGAACTGACACAGTTCGGATGTTAAGACAGTGGGATATACCCACTGTGCCACCGCTCCCCTTTTCTCCCCTATGTGGAGAAGATAGCATAAGAGTAGCCATGCTGCATCAGACCAATGATCCATCTAGCCCAGCATCCTCTCTCCAACAGTGGCCACTCAAATGCCACTGTGAACCCCACATGCAGGGCACAGTGGCTAATTTAATTAACTAAATTATATTAATTAACAGAGATTTTCACTATTGGAGACAGACTTGCTTTTAGAGGCTTGGCAGAGTTCCTGGCAGAGGGCTGTGGTGTGTGCAAAACCTCACTGCGTACAGCTATTTAACTCAACAGCGGCTTTGTGCTGGGAAGGGTGAGCGAAGCATACAGCTGCCTGCCACTGCTCCCTCTAAGCTGTGGAGTCTTGTGAGCAAAAATTCTACTCTGTGAGCTACTGGCATTAAAGTTGTGAGCGAGCGATTTAGCTACTGCATGAATTAATTTGCTCTGGAGCCATCCTTCCTGAGCTAAGACAAAAATGTGTGAGCTGGAAGCTAAAAAACAGTGAGCTAGCTTACACTAACTCAATTTTGAGGGAACACTGGCTGCCACTGCTCCAAGCCCTTCACTGCTGGCATGCAGAGAAAGTACATGGCTGGGGTGGGGTGGGGAGAGAAGAGGAGAAGGGAGGGGCTAAGAGAGCGTGTGCACAGCCAGGTCCACCCTCAGCCCCAGCACATGCAAAGGGTGTGGCCGCTGGTCGGAAGGGCTGCCCTCCCGACCAGCAGCCTGGTCCCTTGCACATGCTGGGGTTGGGAGTGGAACTGGCTGTGTGCTCGCTCGGGCGAGCGTGAGCCAGCCAGCCTCTCTCACCGCTGCCCTCCCTACCAGCATCCAGGACCTTTGCATGTGTTGTGGCTGGGGGTGGAGCCGGTTGTGCACTCACTCGGCCCTCCCTTCTCCTCTCTCCTCTTTGGTCTGCTTTGGTGTAGTGGTTAAGTGTGTGGACTCTAATCTGGGAGAACCGGGTTTGATTCCCCACTCCTCTACTTGCACCTGCTGGATGACCTTGGGCAAGCCATAGTTCTGGCAGAGCTGTTCTCTCAAGGACAGTTCTGGAAAGAGCTCTCTCAGCCCCACCTACCTCACAGAGGGTTCTGTTGTGGGGCGGGGAAGGAAAAGGAACTTGTAAGCCACTCTGAGACTCCAAGTGAAGGGCGGGGTACACATTCAATCTCCTCCTCCTCCTCCTCTTCCTCCTCCTCCTCCCACAGCCATGTCCTTTCTCTGCACTCCTGTAGTGAACATTTCAGAGCAGCGGCAGCTGTAGGATTCGTGGGGAGGGTCTGGCATCCACTGGGAAGGGGGGTGGGCACATCTGAGGGTGGCTTAGCCCCGTCATCTCTATGGACCTGGCGGTGAGACCAGCACAGTCCCTTGACTGCCTCAAATGGAAGGCCTGGGGCATGGTCTAGAATCATACTCCAGAGGTCTCCACCCCAAGCCATGAAGGCATTTTATACAATATACTTTGCTATTGAATGAGTTCCTCTTATGCGTTGATTCTACTTCAAACAACATACTGTTGCACCAGCCCATCATGGCTTGGCTCTACATCCTGAGCAGGCATGGCTCTTTAAATAAGCACAACACCCATTACTCTTTTATGTAAAGAGCCGAGGGGTTACATAGATTCATGGAGGAGAGGACCATCAGTGGCTGCTAGCTATGGTGAATAAAGGGAACTTTCACATCCAGAATCAGTTTAGTGACTTATGCAAAACAGGAGGATTTTATATTACACACATTATCTTTAAATACTGAGATGAAAGTCAGGGTGTTGGGTTTTAGTGTGAATATTAGAAATAAATAAATAAATGTAATGTAAAAACAGTAACTTGGTCTAGCTAGGAGTGGGGGGGGGGAATCTAGAAGTCAAACAGTGAGGTATTATATGTATTTGTCTGCCCTCTTGTGGTGAAATCATAGAAGAGCTGGGCTAATGACTAATGTGTGTCGCATCGCAGACACAGCTAATTGAAAATAAAGTAAATATTACAATATTGTCCTCTGTGAAGGTAAAAGAGATTAAGCAGCTGAATTTGAAATAGCTTAATTTTTTCCCAGTTTGGGAAAGCCCCCTTATGTCAAAATATCACATTGGGTTTCTTCACGCATCACCCTTTAAGGAAAACAAACAAAACAATCCCTGCAGTTTGACTAACTGCTCCCTAGTGGAAACTAATAGGCTTCTTGGCAACAGTAAGGTCTCGTTTTGTGGTTTAGCAACCCGAGTAAGACTTAAAACGCACTGCATCTAATTGCCTTTTGGACTGTCCAAAAGGCTATTGAGTAACAAGACATCGACTTTATAGTGAGGCAAAAGCAACTGTCTGAATTTTGTTTAAGGTCCCTTGCAAAAAACGGTCCAGATCACATCCACATACAAACCCCACATTCTTTCCGTTCCATTTCATCGTTCAAAAATAACATTGTTTGCCTCCTAATGCTACTGCAGGTGTGTCGAGAATATCAGCGTGGCAATTGTAATAGAGGAGAAAATGATTGCCGGTTCGCTCACCCTGCCGACAGTGCAATGATTGATACCAACGACAACACAGTGACCGTCTGCATGGATTACATCAAAGGGAGATGCTCCAGGGAAAAGTGCAAATATTTCCACCCCCCTGCACACCTGCAAGCTAAGATCAAAGCTGCCCAGTACCAGGTCAACCAAGCAGCAGCTGCTCAGGCAGCAGCTACTGCAGCCGCCATGGTGAGTCCAGAATCTGTACATATGGATATAATGCAAAAGTGTTAACATTGTCAGCCACAGAGAAGCATTGACCATTTTAACTCTTCTTGCTGAAGATATGTTTGTTCAGGTATCCCGTTCCCAACAAGAAGCTTCCAAGCATGTGAAACCAGATCTGCTCTTAAGTAGTTTCAAGTGCTGCAAAAACTCAGTGCAATATCACAGAGTCTGTTTGTGTATTCACGACTCATGCATGGCTGCACATGCGCAGATATACAGATTGTTAGCTATGTGCACAGAGAAAGAGAGATTTCATGCGTTGATTTGCATATAGTCTATCCATATAAATGAGGAGGGGCCATGGCGCAGTGGTAGAGCATCTGCTTGGTATGCAGAAGGTCCCAGGTTCAATCCCCAGCATCTCCAGTTAAAAGTATCAGGTGATAGGTGATGTGAAAGACCTCCACCAGAGACCCTGGAGAGCCTCTACCACTATAAATAGAAAATACTGACCCTGCTGATGTGACCTGGGGTCAGTCACAAGCTCTGGCACAGCTGTGCTTGAAAAAGAGCAGTTTGTGTCAGAGTTCTCTCAGCCCCACCCACCTCACAGGGTGTCTGTTGTGGGGAGGGGAAGGGAAAGGAGTTTGTAAGCCGCTCTGAGACTCCAAGTGAAGGGCGGGGTATAAATCCAATCTCTTATCTTCTTCTTCTTCTCTTCATATAAAATTATGTGTTGGAGAGCTTTGGCTCAAGTGGCAGAATGTCTGCTTAGCATGCATCTCCACTTGAAAGGCTTAGGTGACATGAAAGATCTCTGCCTGAGTCCTTGGAGAGCTGCTGCCAGTCACAGTAGACAGTACTTACCTTGATAGACCAGTGGTCTGAAATGTGCATCTATTACTATTGTATCTACATTATGATGTCTCGAGCCTTCTTTCCATGTAAGAGGCAACGCCCGAGATGTTACTGAAATTGGTCCAAGGGAGAGAATCATATATGGAACTACTTAGGAGCAGAGACCCTCAAATTTAAATCATTCTTTGTGTTTCTCATGAATGTTATAATGGTCTAATGAATAACTGCACAACTGAGACGTTGATGGTGGCACGGAGTAACAAAACTGTAGCATGCTGGGAAGTATCAGGGAACGAAGATATTGCTTAAAATGTGATGCTGGGGTGGACACAAATGGCTATTTTAATGGGTTCATGTAACAGACTGCACTTTTAAGAAGCTTAGAAGTGCTGTACAAACAACTAAAGGACTGTGAAGGGTTAATTCTTCACAGAAACAGAGAGCCTTGAGTGACAGGCTGTTCCAAGAGATATGATTGGTTAGCAATAGCTGACCAGAAAAAGACTTCTGAACTGGATGCTAAGGAGGATTCCCTAGCTGAGAAGAGTCAAGGACTAACAGTTTCAACCTTAGCTGAGAGCAGTTTAACACAGACAGGAGAACTGGGGGAAAGTTGACAAGGAAGTCTGGGAAGTAGACAAAGACTCCCATTCATGCCAAGGAAAGGGGATAGCTCTTCTAGAGAGAGAATTCCCTACCCAGTCAAACAGGGAGTTAGCTCTGAAGAGTGGAGAAATCCCTGGTCTGATGTGGTTAGAAACTGCCTGTAGAAACCTTATGAGTCAGTTAAAAACTCAAGATGATTACTGGTGTTTCAAGAGAAGGGATTTGGGTATGGGAAAGAGCGTACGAGCCTTCTGGAAACCAAAAGATACAGAGAATACTGAAAGAAAGTGTACTGAAGTGTTTGGGGAAAACACTGGAACAAAAGCCTGTCAACATAAAGTTTTTAAGTAACTCTGAATAGCTTCAGAAACTCTCATTAGCCTGAAGCGTAAGAACTAAAATCTGGGCATGTACTGATTTTACATCAGAGTTACCTCAGAAATTTTGCCCCTAATTTCATCTGACCTTTCCCCTCTAAGTTGAATAAAATATTTTGTTAATTTGGAATATTAAACACTTCTTGAGTGCCATTTAAGTCGTATAAGTTAAAGGAGGCTTCCATTTCCTTCCTCAGGTTCCTGGGCTGAGTAAACAGCCAAACTATAATACTGTGACAGGGTGGGACAGCCAGAATTCTTCAGGAAAGAAGAAAATAGATAACTAGGGCAGCTCAGTCACAAAAGGGAAAGAAAAACGGAGGGAAAATCTTGCCTCTGTGGGAGGGAAGAGGACAGGGGCATCATAGCTCCCTTCCTTGTTCTTTGCTTAGCTGTTAATGTTGTCCTATTTTTTTATTTTACATAACACACATGATTTGACCATTAAAATACTACCTCATGTGAAACATTGCTGTGTGATAGTCATAGCACACTGTATTGGACAACGCAAGAGGGGCCTTCTTCTGTGTTTGCAGATATTTCAGGAAAAACTACAGAAGGCTGACTCTCTTTTTCACCCGTTCTCCTTCTTTCACTCTTCCCACCCTCCCCCGTTAGAGTATCTTGTATGTAATTAACTACATAGAGGTTTACCCTCACAATAACAACTCAGTAGTGCCTTTATTGTGCATGCTTAGTCTTGTTATTTGTTGTATATGGCATTCCGATGATTTGTTTTTTATTTGTTTTTTCTCACCTACCCAAAAATGCACTGCTGCCCCCATGATGCACCTCTGCTTGCTGTTTATGTTAATGCGCTTGAACCCCACTGGCCCATTGCCATCATGTGCTCGCTGCCTGCTAATTAAGACTCAGTCGGCTGTCAAATCACTGAAGCGACCCCTCGAGGCAACCTTTGACCTGGTACTATGACCTTTCACCTTTTAGCTTGGCATGTAGCTTTATTGTAGATACAATTTTTAATTAAATTCTTGAAGTAAATATTCCTTATTTCCTGTTATAACATAATGTAAGTTGGATGGAAAACTGAGTGTGGTTTCTTGATCCAGTAAATGGGGAGACTGTGAAGTTAAAAAACACGGAGAGACATTTATTTCCCAGCCAGTGCCCCTAAGATGCAGGACTCCACATTCAGTTTGACAACCGTGTAGAAGTTTCTAAATGAAGTAAGTTGGGGAGTTTGTGTTTATTTTTCCAAAAAGAAAGATTTAAAAATGTGTATAATATATATTATATATATATTTGTATCCGTTTGGTTGGCATGGCTTAACAATAGTCTTAATGTAGATTTAACATTTGTAATGCAATGTTAAAAAGTACCAGCATGGTGTGGTACATTTTCTTTTTCTTTTTTCTTTTTTTGCATGTGTAGTTAGACTTTGGGGGAAGTGGGAAATATAAATTTAATACGGTCTTTAACCTGTTTCGCTCACTCTGTAAGATTTGTCTTTAACATTGCTCTGACTTGTCAATCCTCATGGAGCTAGCAGTGCAGCTTTCTTAGTTGTGTTTCTTCCCCGGTATTGCTGCTTTCTTACTAAAACAAACACACCAGCTCTGAGGCTTTATAATAGCGGACCATGCTGGCACCTAGCACTCTAGCACAGTTACCCCGGTGGTGCCCTATTTGAAGGCCAAAGCCATACTCGGCTGTGAAGCTTCAGCCTTGCCCTCTCTTTGAATAGTGAAGCCCGCTCCGCTGCTTGCTTGCTCAAAGGATGAAAGATGGTGGTCGTTGACCATTGGACCGTCTTCTGCATTTTCTGTTTCTTCTCTCTCTCTCTCTCTCTCTCTCTCTCTTTCTCCCTCCCTGCCCCACCTTCCTTTTTGTTTTGTTTTGTTTTTAAACTGGGATGTCTTACACTCACCTGCTATTAGGGAATTCCTCAAGCTGTACTTCCCCCGTTACCAAAGAGGCCTGCGCTTGAAAAAACCAACGGTGCCACTGCAGTCTTTAATGCTGGTATCTTCCAATACCAGCAGGCTCTTGCAAACATGCAGTTGCAACAGCATACAGCCTTCCTCCCACCAGGTAAGTGCCCTTTGAGCATCCTCCCAAGCCAGGCAGAGACAAGGTTAGAAGCATGCCGAGACCTTAGAGAGCCCCTCGGAAGGCGTCAAGGTTGGGGGAAGGGAGGTCTGACGGGGTGACCCCACACAAGCCAGAAAGGACTCAGCTGCTAAACCTGCAGGTTCTGCATAAGTTTGTCTTGGAAGCAAGGTGTCGAGTGCTTTCTGATTGGATATGAAAACCTGCATCTCCAAAGTATGCACTCTTCCATTTCAAAAGAGCGTTTGAAGTCTCCCTCCCCCCCCCCCCGCGTGTGCCTCTTTTTTGCCTAATCCTTCATTTCACACCTCCTACACTGTTTTGTCTGGGTTCTTTTTTTATTTTTGGAACTGCTGTAAGACCCCTTAGTGTCAAATGAGTTTATCAAAGAATTTTAGGGTAAGAAGAGTGACTTTCAAAAGAATTGGGGTGAGAGGGGCTGGCCCTGTTTAGAGCCAAACAGTTAAAAACCTTCGTTTGATAGATTTTGGAGGAAAACATTTTGAAGTGTTGCCATTGATTTTTTTCACGTACAGGGGCCAGGTCTCAACTATCTCTTTCTGAGATACTAAAAGGATCATACAGCATTTATGGCTCACAGAGGCTGATCCTTGAAAATGAGAGGTCAATCTACATCTTGAGTTCTGTCTTACTGGGTTTCATTTGCACACGACTTGTGTTTGAATTTAAAAAGTCTGGCTTCTAAAGCAGTACCTGTAGAAGAGGAGGAACAGGTACTCAGCTACAGCTGTGCTTAGGTATTTCCAGTCCCCAGGTAGTTTAATTGTTTTGTGTGGGTGGGTGTTAACCTGATTTCCTTGATACAAAATATATTACGTTGGGTCCCAAGAATTTAGGCACACATCAAAGATCATATAAGATCACACTTTTGTATCTCAGGGAGGTTTTTTGCATGATTCTCATTATCAGAAAACAGTGTCACACAGGGATTTGGCAGAGGTTAGGTCCCGCTTGCAGAAGCATTCACCTCTTCCTTTCTTCCTGTGTGGCAAGAACATCTAGAAGGTAAATGATTACCATAGTGCAGTGTCTCATATGTGTGGATCCAGCCAGATATGGAATTAAAAGGGTGTAACTCTGCTTGGACTTGTACTGACAAGCAGCCAGTACATGCAATGCTAAACGCCCATATTAAAAAAAACAAACTGCAGACTCCTACACATGAAGGGATTTGTGATGCCGCTAGGGATGGGCACGGTCCAGAAAAATGATGGTCCATTGAGGTTCAGAGGTCTGTGCAGTTTATGGACCCCTGGACCATGAACCTCCACATTTAACAGACTGGTTCGTGGTCTGTTTGGTCTGTGACACCACGCGGCTTACAAAGCCATTTAAAGGGAATGCTTTCCCTTGGCTTTTGCAAAGCCATGTGGCACACGAGTGACAGCCAAGCGGCAACTTCACCCACTTCCGGTTCACTTCTAATGAGCTGGAAGTGGGTGAAGTCGCTGCTTGTCCTTCACTCGGCTTTGCAAAAGCCATTTAAGGGGATCACATTCCCTTTAAATGGCTTTTGCGAAGCTGTGCAGTGTGTGAGTGAAGGCCGAGCAGTGACTTTACCCCCTTAAGTGGCTTTTGCAAGCCCTGCTGGCATGGATCTTACCAACCTCCTGGGAGGGTCATGGGAGGTCTGTGTCAGCGGGATGGCATGACCGGGCTCATGGACCATGGACTGGGCCCCGTGTCTGTGGAAAAAATAGGTCAGTGGCCCAGTGCATGACCATCCCTAGATGCCACCTCTCACTGGCTAAATGTGATGCATTTCATTCCCGGGCAATTCAGAACATACATTTATTTACTTTTTATAATTTATACCCTACCTTTCTTCCCAAAGAAGATCCAAAGTGGCTGATACTTGGTTCTCCTCAGGGGTCATTTGGGGGGGGGGACGCGGGGGGACGCCATCCCCCCGGGTGAGGTGCGGGAGGGCGGGGCCTGGAGCTCCCTGCTGGTGCCCGCTGGAGGTCGCCGCCGGCTGTGGGGAGGACACACTTCCGGTGATGTCAGGGTGTGTGGCATATGCTAATGAGTTATGCTAATGAGTCCCCCTAGCTCTTTTTCTACGAAATGACCCCTGGTTCTCCTCCATTCTATCCCACAACAGCTGTGCGAGACAGATTAGGCTGAGAGTGTTTGTCTGGCCAAGCAAGCTTCCATGGCAGAGTGGGGATTTGAACTTAGGTCTCCAAGATCCTAGTCACCCCCGACTGATGGAAACTCTTCTGATAGAAATTGTTCCATCAGTGGATGTTTTTTTATAGGATCCAAGCCAGTGTCAGTTTCCTGTTCAAGTAAGGATGACACGGGAAGAAAAGTGAGCCTTGTTGCAAAAGGGCTTGATTTCCTGTACTAAAATCAATGGGAAAACATTAAAATCCACGGCAAAAAGTGATTAGCAGCTACAGAAACAGATTTTTATTTTTCAGAAATGAAATAAAGAATGTAAATTGAAATAAATAAATAAAACAAAACTGACTTGAGTGACAACTTGAAAGAAATATATGGAATAATGCATTCCATGTTACAGTGAACATAATTTCTCCAGCATACTAAATTCTGCCGCAGATATCGTTTTTATGGCATGCCCTGGCTTTTTTTCCACTTCTGCCTAGTTAATTCATAGATTTTTTTTTTTCCCCTGGGCAGAAATGCAGGCTGTGGTTTGACTCCATAGATTCATGAGGTATACAGTTTCATTTAACAACCTGAAGGGTTAAACTGCAATAGCAGAGTTCCTTTTTAAAAAAAGAACCACTAAAGGGGTCCTACACAACCATGTCTTCTTCATACCTGCAAGTATTGCATTGTAGGTTTCCATTGCTGTCTCATGTTCATTTGCTGCAAACCCTGTGCTAAAAGTGTGTGTTGGTTTAGATCATGAGTGAGAATGGTAAATGACAAATTAAAAAATACATGCAATTAAATGACAGAGCATCATTGCAAAAAGAAACAAATGCAAGTGCTTATTTTCTACTCATAGGGATTACAGAATTAATAATGTGTAGCTCAAAATAGAGCATAGATGTTCTGAATAGTAGCTATTAAATCACTGGTCAGGCACATTCAAGCTTTGTTCTGGGTTTCCAGCAAACTATAGTTTGCCATTGACATCTGGACCAGCAAATTGACATTTTAGCCAGCCCTGCAACCAAGGTTCTGTAACTGGCCTGTTAGAATGTTGTAATTCAAAGCAAGGCCAGAACAGTACATAGTCTGCCCCTTTGGATGTTAAAGTGTGCCAAACCCCCCAAAATAACCAGTTTGCTTGTAGTATATGAATGGAGGGAAGAGGAGTAGTAAAGGCAACTCCATTCTCCTTAAACACATGTCTGTGTGATGCCAATGATTTCCCCAAGCAACAACACTGAAACAATTAGAGTTAAAAAGGTCCTGCCAAGTGAAGCTCAGACTTAAACCGACTCATAGTCCCCTCTGCCCTGACAGTGCAGCTAGGAGTCAGGCTTGAATGCCCAGGACCCTACTTTGTTATGGAACTGTATGTACAAAGGCGTGTTGTGTGAACCGTTTCCCAGACTACTCCAGATATCAGGGAGGCACATGCAAAGCCCTTTTAAAGAGGCTAGAATCCCATTGTTTAGCCATACAAGGGGACTGAATGTATGGAGCAGAATTCCAATCTGCCCGTTCTCCCATTGCCTATTAAACAGGTGATCAGCATGACTGTCCTTCAAGGGCTACATGCACACAGCCTACTGTGCCTGGCACGCCATTGACTCAGAACTCTTATGTTTTGTTCATTCGTGACACATCCAAATGTCAAGTTTCCTGCCCTAGGGGCTAGAGTGGGTTTCGGTGATGCTGCCAAATCAAGCCAAGCCAGTTTCTGTTTAGTTTAGTCTCAGGCCCAGGGCACCTCTGCAACCAGAGGAGTGTTCCTTCAGATAAATCCTCCTGTCCATTCCAGGAATAGTTTCACATAGAGGAATGTCTGGGTGGCTAGGATATACAGTAGTACAGGCTTCCTTCAGTCATAAAAATCCTGATCTTGCAAAGCATAATGTGAGCTATGAGAAAGTGCTCCTGGTTTCACATCATCTGCCCTCTTTCTACTACCTCCCCTTGCATGCTCCAGTTCCCTCCCTCCTGTCCTTTTGTTCCTTGAGCAAACTCTGCAGTGCTGTGGTGTACAATGACCAAACTATGAGTAGCTCAAACAAAGCTGGGAACCACAGTGCATGAGCCTGCAGCGCATTGCGGGGAGGGCGGGGTATAAATCGAATAAAATAAATAAATAATAATAACATTTGGAAGATCAGGAAGGAGCCATGCTAGTCAGCATTGGCCAGTGTAGAAGCTTCTGTAGCTGGGGAAAGCGCAGGCCAAACCGGGTTGAGATTCCTCCACTTAATGCTGTGTAGTCTGGAGGAATAATGTTAAGACCAAGTTAGTGGCCTCTTGCATGAATGAGCATGCCTGCACTTCTGATGTTTCCATCCACGTATCAAAATTAACCTTTAAACAGGAAGGTATATTTATCTAATCATATAGGAAGGGAAAACATACTGAGGAGGGAGCCACTATCATGTCAGTTGTGGCTTAAGATGGGTCACAAAAACTAGACATGCTGAATAACCATGACAATACTTCTAGGGAGAGTGACTTGATAGTGCTGAGCTAGTGAGAAGCTGTGCTTGCTGAACATGTACTTGAAACAGTGCATTTTGCTAAAGCAAATAAAATTGCACAAATTCAAACCCCCTTAATAATGCCCCCCAACCTCATTCATATTGTGAAGGAAAATATAACCCCTCCAACACACCCCAGATTAATAGTAGTAATAATACCTCATAATAGCAACTCATTAATTTACATTCTTTTCTTATTTAAAGACAGGAAATTGGAACATTTATTTCAATGCAATAAACTCATTGGTAGAGTGTTACCTAATTATGTCATTTAAAACTGTTACACAATAGATCTAGAAACATGGTGAATGTCAGAGAATCAAAAGAGCTCATATACCCCAGTCAGATGCCATCTGTTGAGTATTACCATGTGGCCTTAGGGCTCTTCCTTCCTGCCAGTTTTGTTGGGTTAAAGAAGGCAAATGACTCTATAGTGTAGATTAACATGCACTGTAGTTTATCCTGGCATCATAGATTATCAGACTGGAATGACATATACACAAAGAGTCAGAGAAGCACAGTCTTACCCATGACCTGATTCTTAAATTTTCTGTATGAGCCAACTAGGATTTAGGATGGTCCATGCCCCCTGTTATACCAGTATAATGTCACAAACGTTAAGTTGTAACCAGAGGTGCCATTCAGCTGTTGGAATGCCAGCTTCATTTTGCTCAAACAGCAGAGAAGCACGGAAGGGAGTAAATTAAACAAAAAATGAAACCCGTGCAAGAATAACAAAAAACATCCAACAGACAATACAATGATATGAACTTATATAAGTGATGTAGTTTATCAAACACAGAATGTATACTATGTAAATCAGTAACTCATAAATACAAAATACGTGGTCCAAATACATAACTAATGTTCAGAAATAGTCCAAGTGAAATTTCTCAAACAGTGAAAAGTCCAAACATCAATATTTATATTTCCCCTTTGCAAAACTCATCTCGCCACTTTTGTATCCACTTGATGGCCCTGCCAGCTTCCAGTCCCCGTATCGCATTGCTTCCTCAAAAGCGGGACACCAAAACCGCCCAATTACAATATTGTGGAATCATACAAAGCATCTTTTACATTCTTAATGTTCAGTAGACCAACTCCTATGATATCTCCTTTTAAATACATTATATTTTGATAAACTACATCACTTATTTAAGTTCATATCATTATATTGTCTGTTGAATGTTTTTTGTTATTTTTGCACGGGTTTCATTTTTTGCCTAATTAGCTTCAGTTTGCTGGCAGAAGTTTGAATCTAGCCCAGGACATTAATCCTTGTTAAATGTTTAAAATGAGGATACTAGATCACAGTACAGAGAGATGTACCATAATGCCATAGTGCTTTATATATTAAAATAATGGAAATTTTCAATCCAGGTTTCAGGAAATAGGTTTTAAGTCTACATTTAAAATTGACTGGGGTGGGGGAATAATGAATGGAATAAATAAATCTTTCTTACTGAAAACTGAAGAGCAGCTTTATCATACTGTTACAGCTCACATTTCTTTAACTACTAAGTTCCTTTTAATTAAAAAAAAAAATACCAGCACACAGTTCAATCTGCTTTTACCCTACCCTTCTCATGTGAGACTAGTTCTAATTGACCACCACTGTGCTGTTTGATTTGATTGTGCTGATGGTTACATGCCACTGTTCCCATAATAACCAATTTTATTCTTTGTGCAAATGAATTTTTTCTAATTACACGTGTGATGGGTTGTTTTAATTCTTTTCCCTTTGCGAATCCACCTTCCTGTTGCAATGCATGATGGGCAGGCTCAATATTGTGCATGACACCCGCTACAAGTGTTGGTAGGTGCCAGCTTTGTTTCTTGATTATCTTAAAACCTGTTTGGCAGCTCACGGACTCTCAAAATCCACTGCTGGGTCTCTAACGTAGCGCTACAGTGCCAATTCATCCCCCCCCCCCGCACTAACACTTGTCAATTAAATGCATTTGCTTTATTTAATTGACACAGACTACCTAGAAGGTCATTTATGTTTTAGCTTCTCTGTGTCCCCCCCCCCCCCCCCCGCCCCGGTCAACCTTGGTGGATTTTGACTGGACTCTGAGTTCCAGTATTTTAGAAACTGTTTTGCACTTTAAGTAACATACAGTTTACAGTGTACTTCATGAAAGTAATACAGAAATAGAATTTCATGCCAGCGGGTTATAAATATTATCAGAGGGAGGTTTTGTTGTGGTGGTGCTTGTTTTTTTTTTAAAAATGGGATTTCACAGTTATAAGATGTTAACCATAGGGGCTAATTTAAGTGTGTTTGTTGAATATAAATGGAAATGATTAAGCTTGATTGTATTTGAAACCTTGCACTGATGGTAATGAGCCTTTTTTCCTTCCCTTTCCTCCCTCCCTTCTGCCCTCGTTTTTTCATCTCTTCCCTCCCCGCCCCTCCCCCTGCTGTCTGGAATGTTCTCTCGCTTTGCGCTGTGATTGCATGTCACTCGCGGGTGGCGGCGTCTCGTCACACGGCTTCTCTGCTGATATAAATACCATACTCGATGATTCTACCACACGTTGCCATGGTTTTCCCATACTGCTACACTCTTCTGTATGTTTGCTTATATGATTTTCCTTCCGAAAGTTCCCATGGTGCACGGCGCTACGCCAGCCACTGTGTCTGCAGCAACAACATCTGCCACAAGCGTCCCCTTCGCTGCAACAGCCACAGCCAACCAGGTTTGCTAATTTATAGCTTTGTTTCTTAAACATAACTCAGAATCGGTGCTTCAAAGGAGCATGGGGAATCTTTTTTTTTTTTTTTTTTTGGTTCGTTTGTACCTCTTGTTGGCCTACACATTCTCATATGATCTGCAGCAATGCTAAATTGGCCTTCTGTCCATGCTTAGGAAAGTGCGGCAGCTCCCTTTCCAGTGCTGAAGCATTTTACCCTCGCCCTGAGTCAGTCAAACATATGACAGTCCATATTGCCTTCTCCCCCACTCTCCACCCCCAGCTTTTTAAGAATAGGATAGGAAGGATAGTACCAAAGAGAGACACAGAGAGAGAGTCTTTTTTTAGATAGGATTTCACTGGCATTGGTTAAGAGCTGTGCAGGGAAGACTTGGAAGAGGAGGGATCTGACAGCCGAAATGTGCTCAAAGCTAAATCTAATCCATATCAGAATGCTTAAACGAGTCTAGAAGCACGACTTTTCAACTCTTCAATTGCAAACAGATAAAGGGGGAAAAATCTTTAACAGACAGCATGTCCTTGCAAACCAGATTACGTTTAGCCTTTCGATGGCTTCTCCTGCTCCTTCTTGATCTGAAAATATCATTGCGCCTAACAGTAATATGGGGCTTGACAACAAGCCAATAGGCAAGTCCCGCAGCCAACCCTTTTTAGGTACCATAAAACTGATGTTCATCAGAGGTCATATTTAGCTGTAGAATCTATTGGCTTTTCCTGAGATTCTGACCCCACCAAAGAATATGGTTCAAATGTTTGCAGAGTAGCACAATAGAAAGCTCCAAGGTCATAGTATCAGCCCACCTGCTCTTGATGGTCTTCCCATTTCCCACCCAGACAGACCAGAAACATAGGTTTGTTTCTTGTACGGAATAGGTTTGTTTCAAGATGCCTGGATGGCCAAAAGTCATTGAGTTGGTATATCAAGGGCTGTCAAGTTGCAGCCAGTTTATTGCAACCCTTTAAGGTTTTCAAGGCAAGAGAGAAGCAGAGGTGGTTTGCCTGCCTCTGCATAACGACCTTGGACTTCTTTGGTGTTCTCCCACCCAAAATACTAACCAGGGATGCTTATCTTCTGGGATCGGATAAGCTCAGGATAGCCTGGGCCATCCAGGTCAGAGCTAAGGGTATTCAAACCTTTGCTTAGTGATACAACAACTCTATAAGTCAGGTGAGTATTATGATCCCCGTATCACAAAGGAATGGCTAAGGCAGAGAGAGGGGCATGTCCAGGGCAACTTAGCAAATCTGTGGCAGAGATGAAATTCAAACATGGGACTTTCTGGTTCATAGCTCAGTCTCTTAGCCATTATGCTATCCTGTTTCTCCAGTCTGAATTCCTCCCAACTAATCAATAATTATTTAAAATTAAAATATGAAATTCACAGGCCCTACTGTGTTAAAAGTACAGTATGTAGGAAACTGATGGCTGGAGACCTAATTTATTTGGGAGAGAATATGTTCAGTATGCCTTTCACCCATCCACAAGAACCACCAGTGCTCCAATGGGAATACTTGTCATAACCTCAAGATGGAGAAACTCCCTTGGTTCTCACAAGGTGCTGCTGATGGTGGTTATTCCTACATCCTGCCCCCCCCCCCAAGAATCCCATGTGGTTTGGGAGGCTGCAGTGAAAAGGGGGAAGGGGACAAAATTGCCCCGCCACTTCCATCTGCATGGTTCCACCACCAAGAGAGAGGAGAGGGCAATTTCACCCCCTTCACCTCCCTACTGTAGCTTCCCAACCCGCACGACTATTAGATCATGCGGGCCCTGCAACCTTGGGAATAAACTTTCCCAGAGTTGGAGAGGACTGCTGGGGGGGAGGGGTGCAGCAAAGATCCCAGACCCTTGAGTCCACAGATATTCGGAAGTTTATACCTTAGGGAGACCTGACCCATGAACTCAAGGAACCTGGGTCTGTCTGCTGACTTGCGGTTTTGTGCCCAGTCCTCTTTTGACCACACAAGTGCATGGCTGAAGTTGCAGCAGCCACCGCCTGCAGTCTGCTCCCTTGCTTGAGCCTACCAGCTCCCACCAATTCCATCTGTGTGGCTGCATCTGTGAGGGCTATGCAGCTATGTCCCTCCCTGTTTACCTTGGGTGGCTTCTTGGCTGTAGCAATGTTACACTGTGCATTGTCCAGCAATCGGCAGGAGAGCAGGCCGGCTAGGAGCCACCTCTGCTTTCCCAATGTACTACTAGACCTATACAGGTACTTAATTCATCAAGAGTTCAGGCAGAATGTGGAAGGATGGATTAATTTGATGCTGCTCATCTGATACGCTTCTCCCTTGAGCATATTCATCCTCTGCATTTGAACAAATTCAGAGATTGAGGAGTTGTCCCTTTAAGGCCTGTGGATATAAACTGTCCCTATCAATGATACATTTGCCAGGAATTTGTTCCTGGCATTCATATGTGCATTACATGGGAAGCCTAGTAGGCTAGACACTTCTAGTGCTATACTTAATAGATAGCTAACAAAACCATCAACACGGTAGCCCATAGCAATTCTGGAGTCCATGTTGATTAGTAAAATGCTGACTGCCTTTGTGCCCTGCCAGCTACATGCCTGAACCTTACAAATGAGGGAAGGGCTACCTTCTGCCAACCTGGGGGACCATCCACTTCCACGATGCTGTATGTCAGCTGTTTGGCAACTGCCCTCATTGTGCAAGGGCTATCCAACAAGGTGCTGACTGCTGCTGCACAAATGAAAGTTGGACGGCTGGAAACTCAACAAAGCATACCCTGGGATTGCACAAAACCAGCCATTCTTAAATGAAAAAGGCTTGGTGGGTGGTGGCAAGAAAAGGCAAGCATCTTTCCTGGTGGCAACCCATGTGTGGATAGGTTTTCCTGCTGGGAGAAAGGGGGCATCCCAGAACCTTCAATTGGCCATGTTACTAAGAAGAGCAGAAAATACTGCCAGCAATGTTATGGTGAATCCATATGTTACATTAGTACCAAATGAGACGTTATCGTTCCAAACATATGAACCCAAGGACATGTTTCCAGAAATAGTGGAGCACAAGAAGGGCATATTTAGAGGATAGATTTGCAGGCAAAAGGCTGCTCTATCTTGTCTCATACCAGCTGATATCCTTGAAGTGTTCCCCTCCCAGGCTTCTTCCCCAGCAAGGATCACATTGGAGCAAACCTTCGGGAACTTCAGGGGGGAGAGAGGGACGTTACCCCTCATCATGATTCTCTAGTAACGTATATGTTTACCCTTAGTTACTGGTGTTATCAGGGATCATTGTCCCTCACATTAGGCTCTCATCTTCATGCAGGCAACAAGCTGACAACAAACCTAGATAGGCTGTTGCATTTGCAAATCTATGCTCAAACCAAGTTGTGCTTAGATAAAGACACACAGGGCATCTCAGTGTTTGTGCACTTCACACCTAGTAGTAGCTGCTTTTCTTTTTTCATAACAAGTTCCAGTTGCACCGTTAGGGCCATAGTATTCATCCTACAGTGCCAGTGAAAGAGGACTTGTGCAACCCCACATTTTACCTCTGCCTTGATGGAGGCAAAAATATGGCCGCCAACGTCCTATGTGTACAAATGAGTGTATGCATTGAGCGCGTTTGTCACCACAGTGGGCTCCCCCCCCCCCATGTACTCATTTGATTATTTATGCATCATAAAGGCAAGAATGGACTGTGCTGCAGAAATTTCCCATTAGATGTGGTGTGGATCTGTGTACAAACATTGCAGTCAACGTTCTCTAATCAGCCTGAGAATCACTCATGCAAAACCACCACTGAGAGGTCCTCGTCCCCTCCCACAAATGATACTGTAACTTTTCTATGTTTTTTCAAGCCCCCATGCACTTGCTACCCAGATTCTGGGCATTCTTTTGTTGTACAATCTGACCATTTCATGCGTATCCTCTCTGGATCTTCATAATGCGCTCCAGTCAAGTCCCGCAGCCAACCCTCAGTATATACATATATAAGCCATATATGTATATAGTATGTAAGCAATGCTGACTGTGATGTAATGCCACCAAACGCAATGTGCATGCCTGCAGAGAAGGTCTTAAGATCTGGCCCTTCATCTTCACTGACTGGTGCTGAAGGTCCTTGGTCTGTTTCGACAGCACTACTCTTGAAGCTTCTACACAGCTGGGTGCAACATCTTCTCCTGCTGCCGTAGAAAACCAATGGTATGAGAAGCTTCATTACACTTGGGCACCCTTTCTGTGAAAAAATGCTGTAGAACTGTATAAAGAGGACACCTAAAGAGCAAGTACAAGGGTGGGGGTGGGGTGAAGAATCACAGTGAGTGGCTCAGTTAAGAGGACAGCTGTGCTGGTCTGCAGTAGAAGAGCTAGATTCAAATCCAGCACCTTAGAGACCAACAAGATTTTTTTTTGGGGGGGGGGGTTATAAGCTTCTGAGAATCTGTTGAAGGGAGCTTTGACCATCAAATGCTTATACCCCCCAAAATCTTGTTGGTCTCTATGGTGCTACTGGAGTTGAATCTAGCTCAACTAAAAGATGAATCTCAACTCTTCTTTTATCATCTCCTAGTCTTCCTGTCGTATTTTCTGATTTAATACCTGCTAACAGGATGTATACAAAGGCTGACTCCACACACAAATTTTGCTTTTGCTTGACATCCAAACCAGGGCAAGGGTTTTTTTTTTGTGGAGCATTCGCACAATATTACCTACTAGTTGCCCCATTTTTATGTTTTCCTTTGCTTTGCTGTGATGTTTCCCAAAACTGGTTTGATACAATTTTTCTTTTGGAAGGATCACAGTCAACACATATTTGTATGCCATGTGGGTGGAATGGTGTTCCTTTCTTGCAGGTCCCACCCACATCAGCACCACTTTCCTTGCCTGGGTGCCCCCACGGCCACCATTTCCCCCTGCAACACATTTTAAAAATCACTGGTTGGCAGCTATAGCGTTATAACATTATAATAATCTGCCTACTTTACTTTGAATTCCCAGCTTTCATTTTTAAAACCCCTCAATCCCCTTTCCTTGTGGAGACAGATCTCTGTAATAAAAAGGCTATAGAGTCTTTTTTTTTTTTAATGGATGCGATGCTGAGAATTCAGAGGACCTAGCAGGTAGGTCTTATAATGCTATACCAATATGTCAGTCGTTTCTTTAAAGCTTAGAAAAGCCGTCTGGAGTTTTGAGGATAGCGGCGGCTACAGGGGGCTAAGGCAAGAAAAGTGCGGGGAATACTGCCGTGAGAATGCTCTGTGGCTACTGGGATTTCCTCTGCATTCCATATGGCAAAGAAAATGGAGAACATTCGCCATATGGAAACAGCCAGTTTGCAGGCCTTTGTCCTATCCAAACTCATTTGAGTTTTAGGTAATGCTACCTTATTTAGACCATGACTTAGTTTTTACTTAGGTGAAGGGCCAAGCCATTTGCGGCCTGTATATTCCTAACAGATATGATATAGAGCTCTGTGCTTCAATGGATTCCCACTGCAAGCTGTGAAACACCATAGACCCACCCATGACAGCATGTAAGATGTAGTGATTACAGTGTTGGACTAGGTCCTGGGAGACCCAAGTATAGCTCTTTCACTCTGCCATAAGGCTCACTGGGGGACTTTAGGCCATTCACTGCTCTCAGCCTAACCTGCCTCACAGGGTTGTTATGGAAGAACACAATAAAACCATCGGGCTGAGCATAGCAAGTCAGCTAGCAAGTCAGAGCAGTTAGTGGTTAGAGGACTGCACTAAGACTGGGGAATCCAGAGTCAACTCAGTGACGAGGCTTGCTAGGTGACCTTAGACCGGTCAATCCCGCTCAGTCTGAGGATTGTTATGAGTCTAAAATGGGGAGAGGAGATCCACAGTTGCTGCTGCTGTGAACTCTTTGGAAGAAGAGGAAAATATAATAGATACCTCAGGGGCCCCAGCAGTCAGCTCTAAATCTTGAAGGAATGAAGCATGTGTGTATGTGTGTAAAGGGCTGTCAGGTCGCAGCTGTCTCATGGTGATGCCATAGAATTTTCAAGGCAAGAGATGAATAGAGGTAGTTTGTTATTGCCTGCCTCTGTGTAACAACTCTGGGCTTCGTTGGTGGTCTCCCATCCAGGTACTAACCAGGGCCAACCCTCCTTCACTTCTGAGATCTGAAGAGATAAGGTTAGCCTGGGTGTGCAGAATAACCTCAGTACCCATAGTACAATGACTGCAGGCTGGGGGGGGGGGGATGTGTCACATTTTGCTGCTCAAAAGCAAACTTTTAAATGCCATTTCTATATGAGGATGGTACCGGTAGCACTATTCTTGGGAACTAGCATCAAATGTCTATGTGCGTGGGCAGCCACAAATGGGAAGTCTTTATAGGTGTCTCTGCAAGATATATGGTAAGAATTGCAGTTCAGTATTCCAGGGTCACCCTCTGATATGCTTTTCATTTGAATCTCGACACAGCTTATCCAGGAGACTCAAGCACTTGCAGAAGATTTTCTGTAAAAAAAAATCTGGCTCAGAGCAGTTTAAAATTGCGACTGCAAAGTCCACAGCCAGAATGTTCCTAAATTTATTTCTGAAGTTGAAATACCCCCAACCTCATAATTTTGTGTAGGCCAACAAAAAGGGCTTTTGGAAACTACTGCACTGCATGAACTTTTAATTGTTAACTTTCTGAATGATCAGTAATATGTATTAACACTGGTTGGAAAAATAATTAACAGCAAGGGTGTTTGCTACTGTATAATCTATGTTTAACATAGTTACAATGTAAATGTCCACCATTTTCCTGAAGTACTTTGCTACTCCTTAATAAAGCGTGCATGCTTATTGGGCATTATTGTTCACAGTTTACATCTCTTGTTTTTTAACAGATACCCATAATATCTGCCGAACATCTGACTAGCCACAAGTATGTTACACAGATGTAGACATTTAATCATCAAACAGTAAGTTTCTGAAGTGCTTTTGGCTCACTTTTGAACACTGAATTTGTGTAGTGCACAGCTGCTTGCCAGGAGAGACTGCTCCATCAAAGGCTGAGTTCCTCCAGCTGCTCAGCCCCTCCCCTTGACTGCTCAGGCCTGAAAAGGAGCTGCTACCTGGGGCTCTCTGGGGTTGAATTCTTCCAGCTGTTTAGCCCCACCTCCTGGCTGCTGTGTCTGTTTTATAATTGTATAGTGATTTTTAAGATTGCTACCTTTTTTTTTGTAAGCCATTCCAAGCCCTGCTTTACAGGAGGCAAGTGGGATAAAAACAGTCAAATATAAGATAACATTGGTCCCCTCGCAGGTGGACACAGAGTCAGGTAATGTGTTATGGTTCCGAGATGGGATCTGTTTCTGGTAATACCTTTTAAAAAGAGCCATATAGATCAGGCAAGTGATGTGTCCCCCCCCCCCCATTTTGGGATGGGATAGAAAGTAACCCTCAGCAATAGCCTTGTTTTCTTGTTTGTTGGTGCAGTGGTTTTCCTGTGAGACTGTAGCGTTTCTCAGTCAAGCTGTAGTGTTAGTGCAAAAAATAACATGCAAGAAGCAGAGAAAATATTCTACATACGCTTTTTCAAAATCTGTGCTATGGCCCCAAAATGAAGATTTGTAGTATATTTCCCTTTAAGAGGCTAGAGGAAAGTGGATATTCTGTTCAGTATTGTTGGAAGAATTAAAGCCATCTTAAAGCAGAGATACATAATTGAAGTCGCTGTGGGCCACTTACATTTTTTTTTTAACTCATCACTGTGTCAGCAACAGAAAAGCATTGTTATAAATACAGACTCTGTGTTTTCACCATCTTCCATTAACCCTCTTTTTCTCTCTTCTCCTTGCCTGTAGTGGTTCTGGTCTCTCCTCTCTCTTAATTTCCTGCCTTCCTCAACTCTCCCTCTTTGTATCTCTCTCTCTCTCTTTCACATGTGCACAAATGCCCCCCCATGGTGGTGTGAAGGGAAACACCCAGTCAACAAGAGCAGTCATAGTTCAAGCATGACTCACAACATGTTAACTAGGGATGTGCATGGACCAGTCCATGGACCTAACTTCATGACGAACTGGGGTCCGGTTCGTGGTCCATTTGCCTGGTCTGTGCATTTGTGGTTTTGACGGCCCACCCACGGACTGCAATTTTTTTCAGCAGTCCTTTTGGTCTGCTGGGGCGGTCTGTGGTACAGGCGTGCTGGTGCCCAGAGAACCCTTTGAAGCTGTGTTGCTGCTTACATGCGCCCACAAGTGAGCTCAGGAGGCATTTAAATGCCTCCCGAGCCCACTTCCAGATCGCAGCACAACACCAGTGAGCTCAGGAGGCATTTAGATGCCTTCTGAGCCCACTTCCAGGTTGCACCCATCACAGACCACGAACTGATTCATAAACAGGGAAAGTTTGTGAAATTCACGGAACTGCATGGACTTCCATTTTTCCAGTCTGTGCCCATCTCTAGTGCTAACAGCTGTCATGGGCAATTTCAAAAGACCATTCCAGGCTTCCTGTGATAGGTGTAACCCTAAGAAGCCTTTTATGTGGGACTGAGAACAGCCAGCCTAATGGTGTTTCTTCAGCACAGAGAGCTAAATGATGTTAAATCATGTGTGTTTTTATGAGAAGAAATCAGACAATGGCTATGATCCAATGGAGAATTTCCACTGGAGGGGCAATATTTGCCAATTCATCCCTCCCATGGCAGACACTCCCCCCTCTCATTCTTTTTCTGGGGGTCTTTCATCCCACATGAACAATATGCAGTGGCATGTTTGTCTGCAGTGGGACGTTGCAATCCATGTATGGATGTCACTTCTGTCAGCAGAAATTACTGGTGGATTCAAGTCAAAGAATATAAACTCTGACAGCAGTATAAATTCAGCTTGAACTATACAGCTCCAGTTATTGTGTGTCAAGTCTTTATAAGTTAGCCTTCTTTCCATGAGAAGGTTTTCACTCGGCTGCACCAGTCAGACTGGAGGAGAGTTTTTGCTTTCCGTGCTTAATTTAACTTTCTGATTGGGATGTTCAGCACTGGTTTTGCCTGACAGCACGTCTTCATCTAACAAGACAGTTTAAGTGAGCTGTAATAGATTCTCTGACATCTTCTCCCCTATTGCAGGAGCAATGTCTGCTAATCAAATTTATGGCTAATGAGAACTTCTGATCTTGTTTCATTTAACATCATGTGCATTTAAATTGTAACATCTCATTTTTATGAACAAACTCTGCATTAAAGACTCTTTTTGGCATTCAGAAAAGTTGGCCTCAGTGACGGATAGATGATGGGGGGGGGCTGTTCAGATGTTAATTAACTTGTTTCATAAGGTTGTTTTGGAGATCAAATGGAGGAAATGACAACCATGTATCCAAGCTCCCTTATAGCTCCCAAGTTCCCCAAAAGCTCCCAAGCTCCCAAGCACAGACATATTTCACCAACATTTTAAGGAGATCACTGTTACCAGATATTTTGCGACAGAGCAGGTTATTTCTAGATCAAAATCTGCCAGTAATGGGTATATTACCCAAGGTTCCAGAGGAAGTTGATATTTAAACAACGGATAATCCATAGGGATTACCCCTATTATATCTCTGTGTTTTGTATATTTTATTGCTGAATTCTGTCTTATTGCTTGCCATGCGATGCTTATTTCATTTATGTTGTTAATTTTGTGATCCTATGGTTAAACTTAAGATTTTTGGTCAAATGAGCTAATAAATAAAAGGAAAGGTACCAAAGCTTCTTTGAGGGGAGAGAAAATTTAAAAAATGATAAAAGTGTGGTTGCCTCCAAAAATGTTGTTGCTTTTGCAAGGATCACAATGCAAGGATTGGCCCACTTATGTGGATTATTACAGTAGTCACTCTTTCTCAGTAATGGATTTCACTGACTTGGAGACTTTCCGGGAGTGTTATTCACTTATGTCCGTGTATCAGGGCAGGAAGTTCCTGTCCCTCTGAATTATTTATTTATTTATTTATTTATTTATTGGATTTTTATCCTGCCCTCCCCAACACAGTAAGGCTCAGGGTGAGTCAGAACATATAAATCAACACATACTTAAAATTCATTTAAAATCCAGCTAAATTAGATTTATTATACAATTCCAGATGGTGCACTAAGCAGATCTGCATAAGTCCATAGTGGGGAGGGGGCGCCACTCATTGAAGACAATTGTAAGACAATTCTGTCTTACAGGCCCTGTGAAATTGTTTCAAGTCTCACAGGGCCCGGGTCTCATCAGACAGAGTGTTCCACCAGGTTGGGGCCAGGGCTGAAAATGCCCTGGCCCTGGTTGTGGATAGCCGGACAACCTTCAGACTGGGGGTCATCAGCAAGCAAGGCTGAGTGAAGTGCCCTTCGGGGGACATACCAAGAGAGGTGGTCCTTCAGATACATTGGTCCCAGACCATGTAGGGCTTTAAAGGTCAATACTATAACCTTGAACCTGATCTGGCATTCAACTGGGAGCTACAGTAGCTGGCGGAGCACCGGTTGAATATGTGATCTAATCGGCATCCCTGTAAGGAGCCGCACTGCCACATTCTGGACCAGCTGAAGTTTCTGAGTCAGTCTCAAGGCTAGCCCTACTTAAAGAGAGTTACAGTAGTCCAGTGTGGAGGTGACTGTTGCATGGATCACTGTGGCTAAGTCTTAGTGAGACCGGTAAGGAACCAACTGTCAAGCCTAACGTAAATGGAAAAACACCAGCCTAATTATACTAGCGATCTGTGCCTCCATTGTCAGGAATTAATCCACTGTATTTTGCTTTCCACTGTATACTCAACTTTTGCCTTTTCCATAACTGCATCTAAGAGATGGGACTTGTGTGGTTCAGATATAAAAGATGCATGCATGTTAGCATGGATCCAATAATTCTTTTCATGCATACTTTATTGGGAACAGCAGTAATTTTATCTATGCATGTGTCCTTATCCAACACATTATGGGTTGGATTCAGTACAAAATTTCTACTTCTGCTAGAGAAAAAGACTGTGGTAGCCACTTGTGCTATGTCAGACTTACTGTATCCTCACTTGCTTTTCTGCTTGCACAACATCTTGTGCAATGAATTTCTGGGCACTATAATATATAGGGAGAAAAGACCTTGCAGAAGTGTCACTTTGCAAGGCCCATTTATTTTTCTACTTGTGCATTGTTGGATTCAAGCCTATAAGTACAAAGTTCACCTGGATTGGCATCAAAGTTCCTATGTAGTCACTCTTTTTTAGGTTACTGATTATTTAGGCATGATAAAGGTTGAAAATTAATGCTTACTGGTACCCTACTAGGTTTTTTTTCCTGGGAAATTACTAATGTTACTGCATGTGTTTGGTCCAATTCTCTTGTGGAACTATGAGCTGGATACTCCAGATCAGTTCCACTAATGAGTGGTGTTTTCTTCTGGCATCTTTTTTTTTTTTAAAGACACAGACCGATTTCCCACAAACTGCTGCTCCATGCTTGCTCTTCCCTTTGCCCCGATCGTACATGTCAATTTCATACCATGTGCTGCGCGGGCACATTTTGCCCCGCAGCTTCGCCTGATTTCCCCCACGTCTACTCAATCCTGTTTTTTGAGAATTGAGTAGATGCGGGGAAAATCGGGCGAAGCTGCGGGGCAAAATGGGGCCGCACAGCACATGGTGTGAAATTGACACGTACGATTGGGGCAAAGGGAAGAGCGAGCACAGACCAGCAGCTTGTGGGAAATTGGTCACAGTATTGTCAGGCTCCGGACCATCCTTTATGACTCTGACAGAGGCTAGCTGAGGAGCTCCAACGCCGACCCCGGATATCTCACAAGTATGTCCAAGTCAACATCTCTGTGGATCCTTCATTATCCAACACTGTCCATTCCTGCTCACTTCAGTGGACTGTGTGGAAGCCCCTTCAGAATGTGACAGCTCTTGTGAGCTGTGTCATATGTTGCTTAATAACAAGCTAGGGTTTCCCATCACAAGCACATACAATAGGGGAGCAAAAGAGGCTCCCTGTCCTTTGGGTTTGTCACAACCCACACATTTTCCACCTGTTCACATTATAGTCTCATTGAAAACAATAAAAGGCGTCTTATTGAAAACAATGCAACTAACTTAAGCTGTATTAATTTCATTACTAAATGTTGCTGAACCTGTGCCCAGGAAGATGCTTAAGTACAGAATTTACAAAGCAGCCTGGAGCTCTTCAGCATATAAAGACTTCATGTTGGGGCAGCGAATCTGTAAAATTACGGGCAGTGTGGAAACAGGAAGATTGTTGTATATTCTTTACTTTCAAGAATTTCCAAGAATGGCTAATTACAGCCTATTATTTCATAGAAACATAGAGTTGGAAGGGACCTCAAGGGTCATCTGGTCCAACCCCCTGCACAAGGCAGGAAATTCACAAATACCTCCCCCTCCACACCCACAGTGACTGCTGTTCCATGCCAGAAGATGACAAAAAACCTCCAGGATCCCTGGAGGAAAATTGCTTCCTGACCCCAAAGTGGTGATCAGCATTTCTCTGGGCGTGTAAGAAAGGGCCACAAGAACTAAGCACTGAGGCAACCCTTCCTGCCCTCCCTCTCATTTTTTAAAAATCTTTTTTTTATGGTCTGCCTAAGTTCACAGAATCCGCATTGCTGTCAGATGGTCATCTAGCCTCTGTTTGAAAACCGCCAGAGAAGGAGAGCCCACCACATCCCTAGGAAGCCTGTTCCACTGAGGAACCACTCTGTCAGGAAGTTCTTCCTAATGTTTAGCTGAAAACTCTTCTGATTTAATTTCAACCCATTGGTTCTGGTCCGACCTTCGGGGGCCACAGAAAACAACTCCATACCATCCTCTAGATGACAGCCCTTCAAGTACTTGAAGATGGTTATCATATCACCTCTCAGTTGTCTCCTCTCCAGGCTAAATATACCCAGCTCCTTCAACCTTTCCTCATAGGACTTGGTCTCCAGACCCCTCACCATCTTCGTTGCCCTCCTCTGGACTCGTTTCCAGCTTGTCTATATTTTTCTTAAATTGTGGTGCCCAAAACTGAACACAATACTTTAGGTGAGGCCTAACCAGAGCAGAGTAAAGTGGTACCATTATGGTCTAACCAGAGCAGAGTAAAGTGGTACCATCATTTCTATGAAGGCTGGCCCAAAAGTATGGAGAGAAAGAAACTGGGTTCTAAGTTCCATTTACTCGATAAATGAGATTTGACAGGGTACCTTGTGGAACTTCCTTTATTGAACTTTTTTTCTAAAGATGTCAACAAAAAATGTGAATTTATGTGCTTTCAGCAGAAGTTGCCGGGCAACTCTGTTTCAACCATAGACCTTCACTGTGGAAATCTTCAGGATGCCATGGGGTCAAGGGATTCAAAATATTTCCCATGTAACTCCTTCAGTTTCCTTTAATTTTTTTACTGATTTTACTGCAGGTTTTTTCCCATTTCTGCAGCTGCTTCAGAGCCCCCTCCTCCTTCTTGAAATGATTCCAGCCAATCAGAGAGATTGTAAAAAACATGCTGACATGACAAAGACAGGAAGCCAATCAGATTGCCTACCTGACAGTGTCACAGTGCCAATTCAGAAACAGGGCAGGAACCACTGCCCTCACTTAGAATGGTGTCAGAGTAGGAGCTGCATTTCTCTTTACTGCTATAACTTTCATCTCATTTTAGCAGAGCTTTATTCAATAGCGCTTTTGCGGTCTTGCTTATTTAAAGCAGTAGTCATTTTCTATAGCATTTCTGATCTGTTTAAGTGTATTTTATTTACTTAGAATGGTATCAGAGTTGGAGCTGCACCTCTCTTTTCTACTACCCTCCCTAAAAAACTGGTGGACAAAAATGTTTACATAGCTTTAATCAGGGCTTTTTTTGTAGAAAAAAGCTCAACAGGAACTCATTAGCATAATAGGCCACACCCAACAGCTGAAATTCATTTGCTTATTAGGACACAACCCTGACAGCACAGCTCATTAGCATATTAGGCCACACACCCCATGTTCGCAGAAGTGTGGTCATCCAGACACACTCACCTTTTGCTTCTTATTCTGTTTACCTTGTTTGTTGTCAAAACGGAGGGCTTTTTTATAGCAGGAACTCCTTTGCATGTTAGGCCACACACCCCTAATGTAGCCAGTCCTAATGAGTTTCTGCTGTTGGGTGTGGCCTATTATGCTAATGAGTTCCTGCTGGGCGTGGCCAACTCGGGAGCCAGCCGGAACTCCGTTCCTGTGCGTTCCTGCCCAAAAATAGCTCTGGCTTTAATCTTATTTCAGCTGACCCCTATTCAATAGGGATTTTGTGACCTTGCTTATGTAAGGCAGTAATCGTTTTCTATAGCATCTAGACAGAACTGGTATGTTTACGTGTACTTTATGGAGATTGTCAACTGTAATGATTGAATGCCTTAGATGTATTTTTTTAAAAATCAGAAAAAGGGGGTTAAAAGATTTCACATACCTAAAATAATTATAACACCTTTATTTTTCTCTTTTTCTTCTTGATAGATCATATTAAAGAAAAGAGGACAGTGTGGTTGAGTGAAGAAACAGGACAGGTCATTAGCCATAATGTATATATCGTCAAATAACGGCACCCAAATTCCCTCAGCAGTAAGACATCCACATATTGCATGTTAACAAGATGAAATGACAACTTGGAAATCCACTGCACACTGTTGCCTATATAATTTGTACATTGAACTGATATTTGTGCTGGGGTGATCATATTGTCTAAAGACTACAGCACTGTCTATCTTTTCTAGCACACAGGTATGCAATGCATACAGAACTGAAGTATGCATTGGTAGAATCTTTCCTACATAATCATGTACGTCATCTTGAAAAGACAGACTATGATGTAGCCATAGATCTATTATGTATTGGTACGTCCGTAGACCAAGATATAATTTTTAAGTAAGTTTATTTCTTTCAAGGTTTACAAATAACAAAAGGTGCACCTTGTATTTAAAAAAAATTGCCATTATAGATGACAGCGTGCATGCGCAGTATAATTTTTTTTCCTTTTTGTTCAAGAGTAATATTTTTAAATGTAATAGATTGTAAGAAGTGGTAAAAGAGTTATCTGACAGAGATGAATGTGCCAAGTAAAAAAAAAAAAAACCACAACTGTGTATATTTTTAAAGCACATCAATGGCTTTAAGTACCATGTTGTTAAAGATTCTCATGAAGTGCCATAGACTGTAATCAAAGTAGAGTATTATTTCTGCAGTATTACTTTAAGAGCCACACTTTTTTTTTTTGCTTATTTTGCTAATAGCCAATCAGTCAAAGGGCACCCTTCTGTTCCAAACCAAAGCTGTCTCAGAAATGGCCATTTTACCTTAGTTAATAGTAGACAGCACAAGGGGGGAGGGACTCTAGACATACTGGTTATTCTTACACATACTGGATATATAAATCTATATAAATTATTATAATCCATTGTAGTTGTAATAGTTATGCAGACTATAATACACAATATACTTTTTTTTAAAAAAGGGAAAAGCCATTTCTGAGACACTGTTAGCAAAATCTTTGAAGAATTTATTTTGCTTCAGTTTTCTAACCTCTGTCAAAAAGTCCAAGAGACTCTAAATGCATTGCAAGAGAAGGGTTTTCGCTTTCTGCTCATATGCATCACTTCAAAGTCACACTTTTTTAAAAAAGTGACTCTAATCAAAAATGAGACAGAAGCACTGACATCAGATGCACGACAAAACCAAAACATAAAATGGAATATGGTAATTAGAATAGGCATTGGGTGGGTTAAATATTGGGGTGAGTTTTATATGTGATTTCTTCTGTTCAGATTAACTGCTTATAGCCTTAGAAAGCCTTTACAAAAAAAAATGAAACAAAAAATAGATGTGCATTCAAGTTTTAAGAATGGATTCATCCAAAGGAAATCCTTTTTGTGGTTTGGATGTTGCAGCTAGTAAAGGATATATTTTGCTCTGTTCAGCAAAGCTAGAGATTGCTGAGGAGGGGGCCAGGTCACTGGTAGTATAGCATGGAATGGGAGAAGTGAGAGTTCAGTTCTAGAACTTTCCATACTTCCAAGTTTACTTGCAAGTTTTTATGCCTGAGAGATGCTTTCTAGTAAAAAAAAAAAAGAATGATGTGTTGATTTTACTGATTGTACTGTACATCTATTAAAGCCTTAGAATATTACATTACGGGTTAAAACCCATACCAATGTAATTTCAATCGTGTTAAGAAAGTATAGGTGACTTCACATGTTATTGTAGTTTACTTACATTATAGAGTACTACTTATTTTTTCCTGGTTAAAACAGTAGTTTTTATTTCTTACATTTATTAGAGTTTTTTCATTTTCTATTATCAGATGAATGACATTTCAGTTTAATAGAATTTTGTTTTATTAGATTTTACGAATGAATTTTTCAAAATATAAAAAAAAAGTTTTAAAAGTTTTTTTCCTTCATAGCATATACAGTTTTGAATTTTACATGTAGTGTCATGAATATTCGTATTATTGTTAACTAAATGATTTATATTTTACTGATTTAATATTACAATGTAAGAATATCAGTCATTGTTAGTTCTTGTCTAGTTTTCATTAAAAGAACAAAGAATCTTTTATATGGATATCTTATATAATCATTGCTAAGTAAGAAGTTAAGTTGTTGCTATTGCAACAATCCTGGCAGACAACTGAGTAATATTTTGAGGATTTATTTTGTTTGTAATTAATTATAAAGGAAAATCTAGTTCCTAGATATTAGAATAAAATTTATTTTCTACTGTATCCATTTCAAATGTTAAAATATTGTTTAAATATTTTTTGAAATCCCTGAATATCAGGCCTTGTTATAAATAAGCTGCATAATCAATAGATCAAGGGACTTTTTTTGTTGATAATCCAAATACTCAAAAAAGTTTACGTATAACAAGAATTATAATATGTGTGAGTGAGTGTGCAAACTCTTGAGGGTTGATTATGCTGCAAGGTTAGCATGTGGGGAAAGTATAAAGAAAAGATTGACCTTTTGCACTTCTGTATATAGTCAAAAAAGAGAGAGAGAGAGAAACCTGTATAATAGTAAGATCTTATTTTGAATAAAAATGTCTATAAATACAAGGAGTTTTGTTAAGGCTAATTAAAAAAAATGACAGGCTGAGCAAAATTGCTTGCAAAAAATGGCACAGAGTTAGCACTCCATCCCCCTTGACAAAAAAGTTGCTTTGCTTTATGTGAACAGCTTCTAGTTTGCCAGGATTCTTTCAGCTGGAAAGATTGGCCATCCTTCCCAGTTCTCATGACTGACAAAAGCTGCATTGGTCCAAATCTGCCTGAAGATCATAACTAAATAACAGGACGGAAAAAAAAATATTTTTTTAAGAAACAATTTCAAATGAACAGGTACTTCAAACCATTCAAAGGAAATCATGGATCAAATGTGTCAGATATTATTCAGAACAACTACTGCATGTTTAAAAGTATCAAAAGAGCGAGAGAGAAAGAAAAAAAACACAATATATTAAAAGATATATATTCTATTCAAACCAGTTTCTGAAAATTTCAGTGGTTTTATTATTCACACACCAACACCCGCACACAAACACACAATCAAAAGAAATATTGATTTCACATACACAACACAAAAAAGAAGTTTAAAAAAAAAACATCAACAGGCAAACCAAACCAAAACATCATAGCTATAGTTGTTGCGTAGTTCTTTTTCTTGCTGTAGTGATCCTGTTCTTTTAGCAGGTGAAAAACAAGACCCGATCAAATTTACTATTGATAATGTAAAACACTTGAGAAACCATGTGCTATATGAAGCCAAAGTGAAAAGGGAGGGGGGGGGGGGGGGCGACGACAAATTCGATCTATATTCTACCCGGTAATTCACACCGATGAACTAATAACATTGCACTTCTTTGCAAACCTTCAACTTTCATCTGCTGAAAGGACAGATGTGCTTGGTTTTTTAACTATTATGTAATCACAGACTTAAATTTGCTTGTAGTTGCTCCAAATTATGTACTCTGTCCTGGGCTGCAACTTGTTTTCATGCTTATTTTATTATTACTGCTATAGTTGATCTAGCTGTATGGAAAAAAAAATAAAGTTAAATTGCCCTAATAAAACTTCTCTTTCTTAGTGATGTTCTTTTCTGTTTTCAGCCTTAAGGTCAGAGCTTTTTAAAATTCACCTCTGGGGAGAGGAGGGACCAAAGCTGGTTCACACATTCAACAGAGCTGGGACCATAGTTTGCATAGTGGAAAGACCAAGCTTAATTTCCTCCACGATGGAAGTAACATACAATGTGGTCATTCCATACATCCCCCCCAGTTGTGCATAAGGTCCAATTCAAACTCATCACCCAAACCAAGTTTTTAAAGGAAAGAACTATGCACATTGTAATTCCATGGAAGTTTTTGTTTTGGGTATGGAGCACCTAATTCACTAATGGGGAGGGAGCGCTTCACCTCACTGAATATGTGAATCAGGTTAATGATCTCATGGCTGTACAAGCAGTGTGATGAACATACCAAGCTTGGACCGGGATGGAAGGCGTAAAAACACAAAATGGTTAACACACTGTTACCATCTGTTATGGCTGAGCTAAAATACATGCAGGAGATAAAACAGTGTCTTTCAGATATGTGGATAGATGCTGGGAGTTGCCAGTGGAGGTAAAATAACCTATAGAGCTTTCCTATCAATGTAATATTTTCCACATACATCTAATAAACTCAGGTAATGTACAGTGCTCCATATAGATCCCTAGGGCCAGACACGGAGGTGAGATAGAATACCTATTGTACCATGCAAAGAGACTCTATAGCCCAGGTAGGTAGATGAACTAAGCCAAAATTCAACTGATATTTTATACCATGGTGCTGAGTTCCATTATTAGATTATGGGGGGGGGGGCTTGCAGGTACCATTATTACATTGGGGGGTGTCTTCCAGGTATTTTTGTAAGTTATCATGCAGAACCATTCTACATAACCCACTAAGTTAAATAGCTGATGAGTCCCCAAGATGAATTTGTGCACACGCTAATAAACTACAGTTTAGGGTCTTCAATTATGAGGAGCATTTAGATACAGAAAAAGGTTTACTAAAAATTGGTAAATTACCATTTTAATAATATCATGGAGCCTCTTAAACTTGTCATAGTACGAGGCCTCAGCATGTCTTCAATGGGGCCCTGACAACTCCCTTGCTTTCACACTGCCAGTCGCCATAAACAAGAGATTTATCAACTGCTTCATTGGCAGCCATAAATGACTCCTGGTCTCCAACTGGCTTAGTGGTTCACAAGTCAAACAGCCTTGATCGAAAAAGACATTACAACTAATAGGCCTTAAACTCCCAAGGATCAGCCAAGTGACCCAGGATCACTCTGAGACAGCATCAGCAAGAGATTCTCAGAAGCTTCAGCTGGATCCCTTTGATCACCATTTCATATCGTTCACAACACACTGAAGGCTTGTGGGTATTTCCATACTCCACCCGCCCTTGCATAGTAGAGAGAAAAAATGCCCTCATTATTACCCAAACTAAAAAAGAGGGAGTGTGCTGCCACATTGCCAACAGCCAATGAGATAGCCCCTTTTTTTTGTATGTTCACTTGTACATTCCATGACATGCCTGATGGATACCATCTCTCAAATTCCAATTCATAAATGAGAAGACAGAGTGGAAAGCAGCCTAAGGCTGACTGGGTGAGAAACAAGCAGTTTTGGTGAACACAGAAAGGCAAATCACATATATGAACCATGGTACCCCTCTCGTTTTTTCTTGCAATGAAATAAATCTAAAGTTCTCAGAAATGGAGCTTTGCTTTAACAAAACACTTAGCGTTCTGATCATCTGGCACAGTTATAAACATGATTTTGTACATTTGAATCTGCATTTGCATCATTGCTTCATGTACTTTCGTTTTCCTCCTTCGATTCCAGTGGAGGCTAGGGCATAGTGGCTGGGCAGACAGTGCTTTCAAGGACTTGGGTCAGGCCTCTGTACAGTCTAGGAGCCTCCTTTGCTTGGATCTCCCCAATATCAGGCCTTCTGTTCATAGAAGCCTCCGTGCTGGTCAGCGTCTCCCTTTCCCTGTTCTAGCCTGTCTTTTCAGGATTGTGGGAAAGGAGTGCCACGAGCACAAGCGGGTATAAAAGTTAGTTCTTTTTAGTTTCTATTAATATTTGTGCTGAATGCTATCCCTACATAATCCACAGTGGCAGTGCTTGGACTCATTGATGCATTGTTCCCTCGGACCATGTGCAGGTATAGGTAAAATATGTGCTCTGCCTGAAAGAAATGGGGTTAAGTCCACCATGCTAGTCGATGCCTGTACTTCCAATCCCAGCATGGCAGATATAAGTCGGGCATAGTTCTGTGACGGCAACTGGCTCACTGCTAGCCAAAGCAGGTTCAACAAGAATGTAAATGAGCGTAAATGTGGAGCATAAAGGATTCTTCTGAAGCCGCACCTACCTTGAGAAGCTGTTGCCTATAAGTAGCCTGTACCCACCTACATTTAGAGGTACGGCCTATCAGCTCAGCTAATGACAGCCATGCAATGTTATCTACATGCAGCAATTATTGGGATGCATCTAGACTACTGCTTTTCTACCATGCTGATCCCTTAAAGTAAGTTAATAGTATTAATAGCAGCAGA